GGAGGAGATTGGTGCGGGAGGGGGATTGGGACCGAGACCTTGAAAAGATGGTGAGATGGGGTTGTGAACGGATCGGGACCTTGAGGAGGATCGGGATCGGGAGGAGATCGCGGGGCGAGCTCCATAAAGCCCTTTGAGGGAGCATTAAAGGCTCACTTAAAGGGGACGCAKGGGAGTTTGCCGGGGGGCGGTCGGGTGGCGCCAGGCCCATCTGTATTTAGCACTGTTATTATTACTGTTCGTTTTCTTATTCCATTGCAGCTTCTAGTAAATTGTTCTTAACGCAACCCGTGACCTTTACCTTTTTTTGTATCTCCAATTTTCCATCCTATTGCAGAGGGAGGTGGGCGGTATGTGAGCAAACAGTGCGTGTTTCAATGGGAACACTAAATTGGGGAGTTCCATTCCTGAACCATGACAGACGTGTATTTTAGTAGGGTCTGCATTAAGTAGARTCATCACTAAAGTATTTATAGTGCTGAAAAAGTCCTTGTCTTGTGTTCTTAAAATTAGCGTAAAAGTTTATCAGGTGCCAGTGTGTGTCCTAAGACCTTGCAGCCTTCTTAGGAGCGCACTTGTGCTCTGATGGAAACTGCCGGCCTGCTGCCTGGAATTTATGGCTGAGTTAGAGCAGGATTTGCTAGTAAGCAGCCCACTCCATGTTTTTTCATCTCTCCTGAGTTCCTGGAAGCCCTCCAGGCTGGGATCAAGATGATTCTGTCAGGAGCAGCTTTTATAGTCTGTCTCGTCATGTCTCTCCCTACATGGTAGTTGAATATATTAAATGTGTGTGCTTCATGACTTCATGAAAATCATATGGCAGGCGGCCCTTTAGGGTGTTCCTGAGCCAGGCAGGGCAGGCCTGGCCTCTCCCAGAACTGCACATTTTCTTTAGCAGCCTCTGATACTCGTCTAGCTATCCCAGAAGTTTCAGAAATTTCTTCTCCTAATCAGTGGCTGCTCTGTGCAATGGTGTTCCTAGAATCATTTAGGTTGGTGAATACCCTTAAGATGGTGTAGTCCAATGTTCAGGTGCTACTGTTGATCCAAACTTGAAAATGAGATCTTTACATTCTCAGATTAGTTTATGCTTGGAATTACTCAGGAATAATGCTTCCATGAGTGTTCCTCATGCTGCTCAACCACCTCTTGGGCACAAGCCAGCCTTTATCCATGCTGTGCAGAAGCACAGGGATGTCTGCTTTGGGTTGCTCGTGGGTCACAGCTCCTGGCTGTGACTTAAGGTGATGCCATCAGGGCCATCTCCTTTTGTGTAATATTTCACACGAATTATGACCCATGACTTATAGAGTGAGGTACCAAAGGGCTATGGAGATGATGAGGGGCTGGAACTTCTCACTTTTGGGGAAAGACTGAGGGAGCTCGGCCTGTTCAGCCTC